GCTCAACGCTCGTCCCTTCGTCACCAAAGACTTCCGACAGCAGGCAATCGCCTCACTGCACGGGTTGTCACACCCCGGGGTGAGAGCCACATGTCGCCTCGTTAAGAAGTCCTTCGTGTGGCCCGACATCGAGCGTGACTGCAAAAAGTTCGTACGTAGCTGTATTGCGTGCCAGAAGAACAAGATCACCCGGCACACCGTCTCACCGACTGGATCATTCGCCCCGCCAAATCAGCGATTCGACCACGTCCACATCGACATCGTTGGACCGCTTCCGCCATCCAACGGTTTCACATATTGCCTCACGGCAATCGACCGTTTCTCCCGTTGGCCGGAAGCATTTCCTATGTCGGAGATCACAGCTGCCGCCGTAGCCAAAACATTTTTTGATGGCTGGATCGCTCGTTTCGGTGTTCCACAGCGGCTGACAACAGATCAGGGACGACAATTTGAGTCCCACCTGTTCAAAGCACTCACAGCGCTGACAGGTACGTCGAGAATCCGCACCACCGCCTTTCACCCAGCCGCCAACGGAATTATCGAACGATTTCACCGGCAACTTAAGGCAGCGATCAAGTGCCACTCTGCTGACCGCTGGACGGACGACCTACCCATAGTGCTCCTGGGGATCCAGACCACGTACAAAGAAGACATCAACGCCACCGCAGCCGAGCTGGTCTACGGACAAACGCTGCGCTTGCCCGGAGAATTTTTTGTCAACAACAACGACAACACGGTAGACGCGTCTGATTTTGTCTCTGATCTCTGGGGCAGGATGCGACGACTACGTCCCGTCTCACCGCGCAAACACGGCAACCACCAGACGTTTGTGTTCCGCAACCTACAGACCTGTTCCCACGTCTTCGTGCGCCACGACGCCATACGTAAACCTCTACAGCCCCCATACGATGGCCCGTTCCAAGTCCTCCAGCGCTCCGACAAGACGTTCAGGGTTAACATCAACGGCAAGGAGGTGACGGTTACTATCGACCGCCTCAAACCAGCCTTTGTCGCCGACCCTACAACTTCCGCCCCAACCAGCACGGAAGAGAGACCCCCACCACCAACGGACCTCGACGAGACCCAACCACCGGTCACAACCCGCTCTGGACGACGGGTACGCTTCAACCTGAAGTATCGTTGACACTCGCGGGGAGTACTGAGGCGCTAACGCCTACAGTCGGCACCAGAGGGCCTCCCGGGATGACGTGAGCGTTTCGTCAGACCACCGCGCTTATTCGACCTGCCATGAGCCAGTTCAGGTGTGTTTGACAAGAGCTCCGCTACTTACGACTAAACAAAGGATTGTAGTGCCAATCGACCATCGCCCACGTTGGTGCCTACAGTTGAAAGTGATTCTACCACACACAAATTTTTTACAATTAATTTCCATTTGACAGTATTGCAGACCCAAAATGATTAATCATATAACTAGTACACTATACACTTACCCCAGATGCTTGTATATAATCAGAGCTGGCCCTACCATATGGCAAACAGAATAGCCACTCCAGGCGCTAAGTCATAGGGGGCGCCTCAATGGTAAAGAAAATTAAAGGAAAAAATATTTTTTTTTGCTTTTTGATATTTTAATTGCAAGCGTGTGGCCAGTATGTGAATGGCCTTATCTGTTGAGACGCGCGTGGGTCGAGTGCATGGGCGGGGTTCCACCCCTGGGCACCATAATAGGATCTCGCTCCATCCTAAAACTTGCCTCGGGCCGGCACTGCATACAATCACCTGATGCTTCTCTGCACAATCTTTGGCATTTGATTTATGAAAAACATATATTATAAATTAATTAAATTTAATAATAAAACAATTGTAATAATAAAAAAAACATATTATTGGTAATATTTTAGTGCAAATTTTAAAAAATTGTTGAAAAATATACTGATTATAAATATTATTACTAAAAAATTTCTTTGTTAGATTCAAATTGGAGGAAAAAAATGCAAGTTTTTGATAATTTCAGACAACTTATGTACATCTTCAGTGAATAAAAATAAAAAAATACATAAAGTATATAAAATTTCGACTTTAATCAAACAAAACATTGTCAAATGGTTTCAATTTAAAACATTTAATCATCAACAAATATAAAAAATTTAATTTTTATTCTTTAATTGTGAACTTATGAAACTTTGTAAAAATTCAACTTCAGTTGAATAATGTTTTGTTATGTTTTTGATTTTTATTCCCTGAAGATGAGCTTAAGAAGTCTGAAGATATTAGGAAATTTGTTTGTTTTTTTCTATTTTAACTCCAACAAAACAGTTTTTTTCTGTTTGAACTTCTAAAGTAGCGATGAGTATTTTATGTAAATCATGATAAATAATTAATTTTTTATTTTAGAAACATTTATCAAATTGAATTTAGAAAATGTATTATAAATTAGAAAAATATTGAAATATTTAGAAAATTAAATTCAGGAAAAAAAGTAAGAATTTTCTTTTAATATAGGCATTCTCACATCATCTATTTTTAGAGAATAAAACAAGTCTAACAAACATCACCAAATGATCGCCTAAATAATCAGGCTATAATTCCATTAATTTAAATAATTAATACAAAATAATTTGCTACTAGAGGTAAACATTAGACGTCATCTCTTAATTAAATAATTATAATTTTAATAATTTATTAAATAAATTTAGAACCATCTGGAAGAAAAGAACTGACCCGGGCGGGGCTTGAACCCACAGCCTCAGCTTCCCGTGCAGTGAACTTAAAATTATAATTATTAATTTAGTTAAGAGATGGTATCTAGCGTCTACCCCTAGTAGCAAATTACTTTGTGTTAATTATTTAAATTAGTGGAATTATACCTGATTATTTAGGTGATCGTTTGGTGATGTTTCCATAAAACAAGTTCTTTAAAAAAGAATTCAGTACAATTGAAATTATTATAACTTTCAAATCTAAACATTCCAATTTAAATAATGAAAATATAAATGAAAAATATTTCAGTGATATCTTCTAATTGTGATTCTTTGGATCTGATTTGTTCATGAGAAAAGAGATTAAAATTGACAACTTAGAAATAAAAATGAATGAAAACTTTAATTTTTGTTTTTGTTAAAATCATTTATTTATTATATTTAATATAATGGCTCAAATGTAATTTAAAGAACTCTTTTCGGCCTTAATAAATCTTAAACAAGATTAAATGAAAAAGAAAAATATAACAAAATTTAATCAGAGAATTTGAGACACATTAATTTAGTGGAAGATTAACTTCCATTGTAAAAAGTTTAAAATGTTTTTAACTCTCATCTAAATCAAGTATGGAAGTAGCTCAATGATTTATGTTAAAATAAAATTTATTTAAAATAAATTTTACTAGTGATTAGTTGCAGCTATAGTTACTTCATTATAGTGGTTTTAGACAAAATTGATGTTAAGAAAAAAAATACTTTTTTAAAAAAGAAAATTTGTTACAAAATTACATTTTTTTTTCTTCTTTTATGTAAGAAGTAATGAAATTTGATAAAATAAAACTAACAAAATGTTATAATATATATAAAGCTAACAAAACAATTTTTTTATGTAATGAATTACAGAAAAAGTAGTTTTACTGATCAGGCAGAAATTGATTGTCAATGAAACTTAAGAAAAATTTTTTGTTATAAAAACTGTGGGTGAAAAAAAATGAAAATTTATTAATAGATTTTTTCTTCATAAAATCTGAGAAGATAAAGTTGTTTATAAATTTGTTTTTTTTTCAGTAAAGTTTAAGAAAACACATTAACCATGTTCATGACCTGTTTATTGCATAATTAATCTGTCTTCATACTTTTTGGCCTATGAAAAAGTATATGTATTTAGGTTACTTTTCTAGACTAAATTGAAAGGTATTAAATGATTTTTAATGTATAAATAAATACCTTAATTGCTTCTGAATTGATTCAGATAAATAAGATAATATCAATCCATTTACTAAGATCTAAATCAAAATGTTTAATATTTAGTTTTACATATTTAAGTATTTAGCATGCTTATAATGAATATAGCAAATGATTAATTATAATATAATTTATTAGAAAGACAAAGTTAATGTTAACAATTATCAAAAACACAACTGCTAATTTTAAACTGTGCAATAACTAAGCCCAAATTATAATACAGTATTCAAGGTAAAATTGAAAATGAGAGCACGTACTGCAACAGACATACGTACTCTCATTTTCAATTCCAATAACATGTACAGTATTACTTGGGTACATGGTCACCATGGGATAGCTAGTAATGAAAGAGTTGATCAACTTGCAAAAGAAGTTGTGACTGATATACTGTCCAATATTATATATAACAAGATCAGTCATAGAACAACTAAAAAATTACTATATGACAACCTCATAAATTGTTGGCAGCATACTTGGGACCAAAAGCATAATGTCGTAACCTACAAATTTATACCCTGCATTACAGATTACCTCAAGAAGCATAAATATTACTCAGCCCACATATTACTCAATTTCTTATCAGTCATGGTAAGTTTTCTATCTACTTACAAAGGTTCACTGGTAAACAAACTTCTTTCTGTTCCATCTGTAATCAGCCTGATAATGTTGATCATTATCTTTTCGAATGTATCTTATTGGAAGCTGAATGCCTGGCCTTAGAACTTAGTGTTAAAAATTACAAATTAAACTGGCCATGTAAGCATAAAGAGCTGTTAATGAATAAAGAGATCTTCAAATCATTTTACAGACTAGTCAAACAGCAAGATATTATTGCACCAACTGCTACCAGAGAATAGCTTACTACTATTTCTTCTAAACTTCACACCATCCAACCTGATAAATCTGATGGAATCAATGAAAATTTTGCTAAACTGACTCCTGATTATTTTTGTTCTTGCTTTAATCAATTACTACATAAGTTACCATGAATCAATCTACACATGAAATACTTTTGACCTTGTCTAATTCTTGTTCTGCAAGTGCATTTTTGTGTTCAGTAAGTACTCCTGTACTCTAGGTGTCTTGGAGATCCTTATGGATAAGTTTACTCTAAGGAGTATTTGTGGTTCCTCCCTGATGGAATAATTTCAAGAGAATATGGAGTTATTCCTGGCGGTTCTATCCTGCAAGACTTGTTCTACAAGTACTCAAGGTGTTTTGGAGGCTCTTGTGGACAGGTTTACTCCAAGGAGTTTTGTGGTTCCTCCATAACGGACTTATTTCAAGAGAATATGAAGTTACTCCTGGTGTTTTGCTCTGCACATTTTTCCTCTATATTATTCCATTGAACTCTCTCTTAGCTTTAATTTTAGTTATTAAGTTTATTTTTCTCATGTTAGTTATTAAGTTCTAAATACTCTGTCTGCAATATTTTCTACATCTGATAACTCTGTATACATTGCTATTCTGTAATAATATTTCGTTGTTATTCTGTATTAATGTTATTAATGTATTAATTATTCTCTCTAATATTTTGTATTTAACTAACAGTTTTGTATACACTGTTAATATGTACTATTGTAAAATGATATAATTTTTCTCAGCTGTGCTGAGTATGTGCCTCGAACACCTAATAAAAATGATTGATTAATTGATTGATTGTATTCAAGTGTCTAAACTTGGACATTTTAATTAAAGTTTAAGCCGTGTTAAAATGGGTTAACATTATTAATATTTTGATTGAATAAGTACAGATACATGTATCTTAGATATCAAATGAAATATTACAAAATAGTTTTTTAAATCAAATAAAACTAAAGTAACTAAATTTATACTTTTAGCTTTGAGTTGTTCAAAGCTAAAAATATAGATATTAGCAACTCAAAGGTNTACAAAATAATAATTGTTTTTTAAATCTATATTTTAATATAAATAAATAGTAATGTATTCTGTTATTTTCTTCATAAATATGTTAATGTAGCTGTATATAAATAGTGTGTAGAAACCATCTGTTAGTTTAGTATTATTGCATCTGTCATGAAAAATAAACATATTATTATTTTAATACTAGAATTCATTAATTATTGAATTCTTTTCAAGTGTGATATGTAAAGTATAATAATAATAATAATTGTAAATGCACTGATAAACTAACTGTTCAGTGGCATTATTAAAAATAAAAAGTAAAAAAACACAAAATGCTTCTGATACTATAAAATAATTTTTTTAAATAGTAAGTTTTTTAAAGCACTTTGTGGAATATACTGCTCTTATATTTGGATGGATGAACATGCTCATGTATAAGAGCATGCTGGTATGTGCACAGAAATATGGTGTATAATTTCCTCTATATTAAATGAATATTTTTTACAAAAATCTGTTGCAGAAAAACATCTTGTGGTTTACTAATAAGATGATAGTTATGTTGGGATAGACTGAGTTTTTTTAATCTAATGAAGTTGCTGGCATTGGGTGAAAATTCAAGTGCTTTAATTTTGACACTATTCTTAAATCAATTAGTGAAATGTGCTTACTATGAATTACTAATACAGTAAAGGAAACAAATGTAAATTATGCTTGTTTCCAAAGTTAATAGTCTTCTTTTTATTTACTTTTTCTGCCCTGTAGGCTCTAAGAGGGCTTTCTTCCATAAAAATTGTGGATTCAACAAGGCTCACAATGGAGCCAGCCAGATGAAGGATGGGCCCAACTTTTTCATATAGACAGTCCATAAAAAAATTCCTGGAGAGCTGCTTTGCCATCAGGTCATCAAATTAACGGCTATTATTCTAAAGCTCTTTTCTAGCTCCTTTTCCAGCTCTCTGGAAGTTTTAAGTATGTATCAATAGTTAATCAGGGTCTCCATCCCCTGAGCTTTCCATATCTGGTTGCATTTTAATGGTGTCTTGGTCTTATTTCCGTACATCATATTTCTGATAACAACTGAGTCATGCCAGTTATCTATTTAACTCCATACCTCAGAAAATTTGGAATTGAAATCCTGTGATTTCTATTCTGGACTGAAAGTTTGTTTATATTTATAGTTAATTGGGGCCTCCAGCCTTATAAGCTTTTCATATCTGGTCTCTATTTTCACCTATCTAATTCTGTTCTTGAGAGTAATGAAGGACAGACAAACAGATGATAATGGGAATGTATAGTATATATAGGTCTGTAATTTTTATTTTAAATACTGTATTTACTCGCTTATAAAACAATCTCACATATAGGACGAGGCATGATTTTAAAGATCAAAATAAAGAAAATTAGATGTATTAATACAATTTAATTTTATTTCTTTTAATCACAAATAAAATGTCAAATGCATGTAAATGCACACATTGTCCCGCAAAACTTACTGGCATTTTAAACTTTAAGGAAAAATCTTGTAAAATTGACAACATAATTTGTTCATGTAAAGTTGGACAATCGGGACATTTTATGCCAATTCTTAACAGTCGGATCCACTCTCTGTCAATTACACTTATGAGTTTCTCTGAATTTCGATTTCCGAATAATCATCTGTTTTCATGTGGGAATGGATTAAAACTTATATCGGGTTCCTGTGTGATTTTGGAATTTCAATTTGGAATTCAATTCAAAAGTTTTGCTTTTCCTATTGTTATACATCTTTACTCCTGACAATACACAAACACAAGAATGATTCAAACAACCAGATAAAATACTTTTGTTTTTAAACACCAGAGGGTGAGCATCCAGTAAAAAATGCGAACAACGGTTCACAAAAATTATTGCAAAAATGCAAAGATTCCTTCGCTCGCGTGTATAGGATGACCTAGATTTTTGAAGCAATGAAAAATGAATAAAAACCTCATCTTATATGCAAGTAAATACGGTAACCTTTGCTGTGTTATGGATGCATTTCATATCCTGGTACATTATATGTTAAGAAAACAATTACTTATCCTTATCTTAAGAAGTGAATCAACTCTTAATCTTAAAGGATTTTTGAATTTAAGATTTCATCTTCAGAAGATATGCAACTAGAAATAAGAGAAAATAGAGAATTCTTCTATAATATATTTTAAAATCTTAAATTTCAGAAAGATATTTAATTTTCTGAAAATAAATTTTTAAGATAATTTATGAGAAAAATTATTTTAAAAAAGTTGAAATTTTGATTTTATTGATTCTGACATTAAAAAGACATTAAAACAGTTAAAAATCATATAACTTGGAAGGTTTATTTATTTTATAATTATTATTTATGACATTAATGTCATAATTAATTATTACTATTAACTTAAACATTTTGGGACTTGCAGCTAATTTTGATAAAATTTGCAATTATAATAAGTAGATTTTATTGTATTTCCCTAATTATTTTATAGAAAGATGTTTGTTATCTCAAAATTTACATATTATAATGATAAAAATAAGCATAAATATTTATTTTATAGTATTACTCAATTTTTATGTTGTAAGTAATAAAATTTTTGAATTATTTATATGAATTATATTTATTATATAAATAAATTTATATATATAATTAAAAAAACTTAATTATTTATAATTTTTAATGTTAGAATTCTTGGCCAATCAACAAGGGTTAACGAGAGCACCTTCTTATGAAATTAGG